GGGTGTTTCACCCCTTAAACATGAGTTAGCGCACGTATAAAAAAATACGGCTCTTAGATTTTCGTGTTTAACAACATATTTCATGGAGAATCAAATCGATTCCGGACAGTTGTGAAACTTCCCTTGTTAGTTAACGGATTCCTCGATATTCGAACAATAAAATGTTTCTTTACTCCTTATAGCCGTTTATGTCAATTTTTATTGTTTTAATAATATTCTGTTAATTATGTAATAATAATGTTTGTGAATAAGTTAAATAATTATAGTTAAATTTTTTTAATTTACGATAACGCATTTTAAAATCGCACGATAATTTTATATGATTGTAACTTTAAGTAAATTTAATTTTAGTATAAATTAATAAAACGTATTGCGTCTCACAATTCGTAAAATTTTGCGAAATTACTTCTTACTACTTCTCCGATTTTATTGCTATCAGCTAACTCAACGTAAATAGGTCATAAATAGATTAACTAACTCAACTCATGGCATATACGACAGCGTTGACTTGTCATAAATCATGAAGGTACTAGGTGGTTATGTCTATCATATTTTTCGGTCCTAGTGGAATTAACTCAAACTTGAGTTAGTTTCTTCACTTCAGAAGCATATCCCCTATTTTAACTTTTGAGACATTGTTTGTTTAGGTAGAAAGGAAGTTTTCAAATATTAAAATTCTATTTTTCAGTAACAAAGAACATAAAAAAAATAGCAAGGTCTCTTTGAAGTCGATTTAAAAACACAGAAACTATCCCTAACATATAAAAACGTGCATTTATACCAGTAAGAGGCAAAGACTTAATTATTAAAAGATCTTTAAGTTTAATATGGTACGACTTTTCAGTATTAAGATTCGCGCAACTCATTATAAAAGTATTTGTGTTACAATAAAAAATTAAAATTAGATTACAAAAAAAAAAAATTTTAATTAAAAGAATAAAAATTAAATTATAAAATTGAAGCATAAATAATTTTCAATAAACAAATAAACATGAAAAGATACAAAGAAGAAAAAGTAATGCTGGCTTTGAGAAGTAATCCAAAGACAAACTTAACCTTATATGAACGCAGAAAGCTAGCTTTTTGCCTTTTTCATAACAAACTATTAAAAATCAGTGTTGACAAATGATATGTATTTATGCAATACATAATTTCATAAAAATGCCGTATTAATAAAAAAAAAGCATTCTTTAAAAAGAATACAATTATTTTCATCAATTCTTCAAAAGTGGATACTAATAGAAACTAAATGTTGCAAAGAGAAAATAATTATGACGAAAAATGTTTTGATTTTTTTGGCTACTTTCCGCGCAATTCAAGCATGGTTAATTTTATTTAACATTATTGGTTAATTTTAATTTCACATTTACATTCAGCATACAAAATTACATTGAAAATGATCATTGTCCTTTATTTTCAAAAAATAGTAGAGATTGGACAAACGAAATCATGGTCATACATTACTTTATGTTTTTTAAAATTGAAGCTTTTAAAGTGGCATCGGAAACTAGAAGCTTCAACCTAAATTTTGGTACCCTACAAGTTTGGTTTTATATAGTTTTCGAGAGGGGGTGGCCGATTTGACATGGAACAATCCGCCATATATATACCATATATTTATATATATATGGCGGATTGTTGATAATATGATAATATAATATGATCGGTATATACGCAAATATATACACGGTGTCCCAAAACTGACGATAAATATTTTAAAGACAGATTTTTTGTAATATTTTAAGACAATACGTCCAATACGAAAATGTCGAAGCTATAATAGTTTTTAAATCAGAAAAGTTTAAAAATTATGAATGACAAGATTAGAATTTCGCGCGCTTAGAAATGGCAAGTTAGTCAATGTGAAGATGCTTCATGCCTTTGATAATAAGAAAATTCAGCATTTCACAATTCACACCGATCATCTTTCCATTCTTGAGCGCACGAAATTCTAGTCCTGTCATTCGTAATTTTTAAATTCTTCTCCTATTTGAAAACTTTCCTAGCCTCGAAATTTTCATATTAGATTTATCGTCTTAGAATATTACAAAGAATGTGTTTAAAATATTTATTCTCAGTTTTGGAATGTATATACTTCATATACATAAAAAATGTATTTGACACATATCTATCTTGTTTCAATATTTTCTAAATTTATATTCAGTAATGTCATCAGCAAAGCTTAAAACGCAACGGAATCGATGATTTAATCGATTTCTTGACTGCATATTTTGTAAATTATAATAGAAAAATCAATAAAACCAATAAATGATATATTAAGACCATATTTAAGATCATATTATGTGAATACCGATTGTGTATTCACATTATACGGTCTTAATATATCATTTATTGGTTTTATTGACTTTTTCTATTATAATTTACATAATATGAAATCGTCAAGAAATTGACTAAATCATTGATTCCGTTACGTTTTAAGCTTTGCTGGTAACATTGCTGAATCGTTACTTGTTAGTAAGAGATAAAGCTTGTAACAATCGAAAGTGGATCTTAAGTGCTTAAATATTCTCATGTCGAATTTACATACTACATATCGTAATCATTTGAACTGCACGCCGAATTGATTTCTCGGACTTAGGCTGTAGCTAAAGTTTCGCTACAAATGCTTTGAAGCGTTTGATGAACCAATCAGAAGAAAGAATTTTACAAATTGAATAAAAAAACTCTTCAAAGCATTTATAGCATCATGTTAACCACCCTTAGAGACACAACTGAACTGCTGTAGTAATATCACAAATTAAATTGACAAGCAATTTAATAATTCAATACTCAATTAGGGATCCTATTAGAGAGATCTTAACATGCTGAAAATCTGTAAATAAATTAATAAGAACTGAATTATCAGGCTCAATTGAATAAAACAATAATAAAAGGTAAAAAGGACTAAGAGCCAACGCTAGTTCTTGATAGCTAATATTTAATGTCTTTCAAATTTTTAACAAACGTTTCGTCCTTAAACTAGGACCTTTTCAATGTTAATACATAAAAACAAAACCTATCTTTATATCTACCAATATTAAAACATAAAAACAAATTTATTTATATTTTCTGCAATGCCAGATCAGATACAAAGCTTAAATATTAATTACATAATTTTAAAATTAGGTCGATTCACTGGAAACGTATATTAGTTCGAGAATTCCGATCATTAGATTAAAATTGATATCTATTAAAATAAATTGATTAATGAAGAAATGACAGTGATGCATGGAAATTATATTCATCGCATACTTAGAAGAACTTTAATTTGTAATATTCAAACCATTTTTAATATTTGACTTATTATATAAGGTAGGATTTGTTTTCATGTTAATATTAGACTTAGTATGTAAGGTAGGTTTTGTTTTTATATATTAACATTGAAAAGGTCCCAGTTTAAAGATGAAATGTTTGTTAAAAATTTGAAAGACATTAAATATTAACTATCAAGAACTAGCGTTGGCTTTTAGCTCCTTTTATTATTGTAAATAAATTTATTGCGAAAAATATTACCTCGGCCGGACCGAGTCGAACCTGGATTTCTCAGCATTCCGTACGAGAGTTTGGTTGTTAAAATAGTCTAAAGACTTAAAGTCCCGTCTAGGTAAATTGCAACACGCAAAATATATTCACATTCGCATTCGCAACAGCCAATCAGTCATTAGTATCATTACCGTATTTCTGATTGGATGTCGCAAATGCGAATGCGAATGCGATTTGCGAGCTGTGACTTATCTAGACGAGACTTAAGACGCTCACACGGAATACTGAGAAATCCGGATTCGACTCTCGAGATAATATTTTTCGTAATAAATTTATTCACAGTTTTTCAGCATATTAAGATCTTTCTAATAGGATGCCTGATTGAATATCAAATTATTAAATTGCTTATCAATTTAATTTGTGATATTACTACAATAGTTAAGTTGCGTTTCTAAATCCGAAAAATCAATTCGACGCGCAATTCAAATAATTATATGTATTGCATATGACTGTAGTATTCAAATGGAAATATTTAAGCACTTAAGATCTAGCTTCGACCGTTACAGGCTTTATCTCTTATTTGTTATGTATTCAATAAAGGTAGACAAATTGGTCTTCATAATAAATTTAAAACGCGCGTACCGATAATTACACATACAGAAAGTTATAAAGATATTACTCTATTTATTATACAATAATTTCAAATGCGTTGATTGGCTGCGGAAGGAGAAATTCTCAAATCTTTAGAAATTCTTTGTCCTATAGTCAATCAACAAATTTGAAAAATTAATTTTACAAGTGAAATAATAATCTAAGCTAGAATTCCTCATGTAAGAGTGCGGACATTGTTTAAACAATTTTTTATTAATCCGCAATGTTTCAGGATAAATACAAAAAAAATTTTATTTTATTTATTTTACAGATTTTATTATTTATTATGGTACTAATAATATTATATACATATAAAGTGTTGAATTAAATTCATCTTTTTAATAACAATTTTCATAAGAGAGATTTGTCATTAAACAAATTTGAACGTTTTTGAAAAACACATCATAACTTGAAAATCGCAGAACGTATATCCAAATTTTTACTCGAGAAATTCTATTCTAAAACGAGGTGTTCTGAACATTAATTTGTACCCTAACAGCACATGTTGATTCTGAGCAGGTTCCGCGGGATATATAAAAAGTATATTGCGTTCATTCTCAGAACGTTCGAAATACGCACTGCAACGTATTATAGTACATACTGAGATAGTTCCTATGTCTCGCGTATTTTAGTTACTGGTACATACTAAAAATGTCCCGCAGTGTGCTTATAGTACAATTACGGTCTCTCTCTGTGAACGGTACCAGCATGCAACTAGGTTATGTACTATCGATAATTTGCAGTATTGTCTATAGCGGACCTGTCCAATTTGAGCTCCGGAGCCAAAACGCAAAGCCATCGACGCAAAAAATTTAATGTAGATAAGATTTAGGGGACTGTAAAGTGTGTGTCAATACGCATCTGAATGACGCTTATCAACACTTTATAGTTCCTAAAATCTTACTCACATTGAATTATTTTGCGTCGATGGCTTTGCGTTTTGGCTCCGGAGCACAAATTGGACAGGCTTGGTCTATAGAAAGGTTATATGAAATATCACGTATAAGCACGCATATACAACTTCGCGCGCGCATTTGTATATTATATTTAGGGCTGTGGCAGAGAACGAGATGTAACGAGACATAATCGTGACGTGAACTAAAATAGAGAAAAACGTAGAAATCACAGTCGTGATTAGTCTTCGAGATCGAAGCACTTTTCCGACCAATCACGATTGCTACTTCTACGTTTTTCTCTGTCCTATCACACGTCACGACTATGTTTCGTTACGTCTTGTTACATCTCGTTCTCTGCCATAGCCCGTAGAAACACTTTCCCGACCAATCACGACTGCTACTTCTACGTTTTTCTCTGTCCTATCACACGTCACGACTACGTCTCGTTACGTCTCGTTACATCTCGTTCTCTGTCATAGCCCTTAGAATGTTTTCCAGCAAGAAACACAGATGATACGGTGTAACACAGTATCATTATATCCTTGTTTGCCAATTAACAAGGATAAAATCGATTTCTATCGTGATACTCGAGCACTAAGAACATGGTGAAAGTTCCACCATGACAGTAGACTAGTAGAGTACTAAGAATACATAGATGGCATTTTTGCATTTGCTTATGATTCAGTTTCTTTGAACTGAGTTTGTTCTGGAGAATGAACGTGAAATTCGTATGCGGGATATTATACGGGACGTTATTAGATAATTTGTACAAAAATCAAAGTTTAGTTTATATATTCTGAGTATGAGCTTAAGAATAAACGACAAATGATAAACTACACAGATTGTTATACAAACGTTATTGGTATGTGTGCAACGGTACGTATGATAATAGTATAAGTACGGAATCATTCGTGCGATATCTGTGCTATTAGGGTGAAACAGTAAAATCTTTCTATAATGGGTTTTCTACGATAAACCACAAGTAACTTAATCTTTATGTCTTAAGCCGTAAGAAATTGACCAATCATAAACGATTATTCTTCTCACATTCGACTGTGATTGGCCAATTTTTTGCTTGAGACTTAAAGCTTAGGTTATGGCTTATTGTAGAAAGCCTATTATAGAACGATTGGAATTGAGCTCCCCATATTCTGAAATTTTTCAATCTGTACTCTTATTTGAATAGTATGTAAAATTAAAATGTCATTGTGTGTTCTTTCCAACGTTTTCTGAATTAACGCACGCTCACTTGATTATGTACCGAATGTATAGTGAAAGAACATGTGCAACAGAATTCTAGTTTATCCGAATGACAGTTATTTAAAAATTCAAAAATGCACAATATAAGATCTTTGTCTATATTGTATTTCTCTTTCAAACCTAATAGCTTAAAAATTTCATCGAATTTGAAAGCATGGCATACTGTCTTCCTAATAAAAAAAGTCAATAGAAAAGAAGATATTTATTTTTTATATAATTTTAATAATATGTATAGTTTTAAATAGAAATTATTCAAATTATCAATATCTTGATAACTTGGAGAATGACAAATTTTTCAAGACAAATCCCTTAGTGTAAAACAAAAATTTGTTAATTCTCGTTTAACTTCTTAGCATATATCCGCTGTCTTTATCTTTGATTTATTACAATTATAAATTAAAATACTATAAATTTTATCAAAAGATTAACTAAGAGAAAGATCAAAATATCTCATAATGATTAGAACACCTCACATATATACGCGCTTATTAGTTGAAAAAAGGAAAAAAAAAAAGAAAAACGCCAGCTCTATTTCTGTGTCTTAACCTAACACGTACGCATGTACGTATACACTCACGCATGAATTTTTAATATTTGACTTTCGCCTTAACTTCCTCCGCGACGCCACCCCATTTGAGCTTGTAAACACGTGAACGCCACTGTATGAGAGGATCCAAGACAGCCTGAAGGAAAAGGTACGGTCTCGTGATTTCACTGAGCAACCAACCGCACACAAACTCAAGTTTGTTAAAAGGCAGCGGACCGTTCTGTACTACACACAGTAACGTCCAATCGAACATAAACCACAAGAGTATGTGTACCAAATAAAAAACTAGAGAATCCCACTCGAACAGGACGCTGGCCGCCCAGGAAGCGAACCCACCCAGAACGAGGCATTCACTCAACGGTTCGAGAACAATGGTGGTAGGCAGCATTGCAACCCTCAATTTAGCCCATCGTCGTAGTCGCGCTTGGAAGGAATCGACCGCGCAATGGCCACTGTTCTGTAGCGCCGGCTGCGAGGAGACGGTGATGCGCCAGCCGCGGTCGGTCAATGATTTCGCGTAAAAAAAATCCTCTGCGAGATAGATGCCAAACGCTTTTAGACCACCGACCTCGTCTAATGTGAATTTTTTCAGGAGTGCTGACATACCGGTATGACAGTTTATCCTGAGCATATCCGCAGCTAGGTACATCCGTGACTGCACCGTACCGAAGAAGATCTTTTCGTACGCGGCGGCGAAACCTTCGCGGTCGCAGGTAAACGGCATCTGATGAACCAAAGCCACTCTGTCCGTCATATGATGGACCATATCTAGTAGAGTGTCCTCCTTCATGCGTATGCCACTGTCGCTGATCAGCACAAGTTCGTACTTGGCGGCCTCGTACGCCGGTTGCATGTTGTTGATCTTTGGATTCACCCCTACTTTACAACCACCGACGAAGAGCGTGGCCTCGACTTCCGGATACTTCTCAACAAGCTTGCGCACCAACATCAGCACGGGATCGGAGTCATCCTCGACGCAAAATAGGAGCTCGTATCGGGGATATTCCATGGTGAAGAAGGTCTCGAGGTTACTGAAAAGATTTGGATCAACCCCCATCAGGGGTTTTATCACGGATACTCCTGGCAGCGGTGTCTCGTAGCTCGCTGCCTGATTCATCTTCCGATGCAGCTTCCAACGACCGGCAATCAATGCCAGCACGTGAACCACCCACATACCCGACCAGAATATCATGAAAAATATCGCGAACCCGTAGAGAGTATATAGCATGGAGTTCATTTTCCAAGGAACAAGAGAGCGAGGGCTTTAGGCCACCGCAATCTAGCGTGCCGGCGTGTTCAAACCGGCGCGGCACCCCCTTCCTTCTTTTTGCCCTGCTTTCTTTCCACTACTTCTTGCCTCGACCGGACACCCTCGTGCGGACACATCACGGGAATCTTCGTCCCACGTCAAGTGACGCGCCCTACTGATCGAGCATCACTGTCGTTTTCACAGTACGACGGCGGCGACGGCGACGACGACCACGACGACGACGGCGGCGGCAACGTGCTCGCCTCTTGCAACACATTCACGCTCCGGTCCACTCCAGCTCGCTTAAACTACGGTAACCTCCTTGACTCGCACCTTGACGAGCGCGTCAACTGCGCGACTGATCCGTGTTGAGGCAACTTGCTTCTTGCTCAGGATGGGAATTTATCTTCCGTCGACGAGCAAACGGAATAGTTAAACCGTGATCGGATCGCATCGTCGTTACAGACTTCACCAGTCGCCCTAAATACGTCACTATTCCCCGCGACCGCTTTTCATAACATTGATACTCTTCCTTTCCATCGACACTGACAAATCGTGCACTGTCATAACTCTTTGACGTTCTCGGGTCGCTCGAATCGAACTTGGTTATCTTATTCTCCGCGCTTTATGTTACGCGAATCAAACAAGAGAGTGAAAGAGAGTGGTAGAGATGTGTACCTGACCAGATGCGACGCGCGCAATGACGCGTCTCATCGACTAACCTTCCCTCTCTCATCTTTCTTCATCATACGTAGAAACCAACACCTTTATTTCGTCACGAATGACTCACTAATATCTCTCTCTCTCTCTCTCTCTCTGACGCGCATTCTCTCGTATTGATGTGTATACACTTAATGCGTATCGTTTCTCGATTATTTTTAATTATCGAAAGAAAAACACCCCGTGTCGATGATTCGGATTAGCAGCACGCACGCAACGATTCGTGGAACGCGTGACTAGAAGGAGCTGAATCCAGCCCAGCTCTGCTCGCTCAAACTTACAGCAAGCCCACTCTTGAGCGTTTTGCGACAAATATATCTCGTAATACTCAAAGGACCGCCAATCGAACTTTCATCTGATACTATTTTTTAAAAAATTTTATCGTATTTATCGTATTATTCAACTAAGCCGTTTCTGCTGTTAGTTGGATAGCCGGATAACGAACAGAGTAGAAAACTACAGAATAGTTTTCAGATACAAACGCCGCCTACATTTACTTTCGATTTCTAAAACTGTAACGATTCACATTTTGTAGCAGTCGATAAAACTGATTGAAAAATTTCTACGTATTAATTCAGATAATAATTAAATGTTTGTGTAATGCCGGCATAATGCATGCACGTGTGCAACAGCATGCTATCCACTATGATATCCAGTTCATTCCGCACCTGACAAATACAGTGACAGCACATCGTGTTCAAGTAGTTTGTATCTCAAAATGTTGGTATTATGCTAGTAAGTACGCAAATCTTTTCAAGCAGTGATTTTTGCTTATATACATAGCTTTTTGTCATATTATTTTGTTATATATAAAAAATAATTTAATTAATAGAAATTTTTTATTTCAAATATGTATTGTACATATTTCTGCCAGTTATACATTATATCGATGAGTTATAATTCACAGTACATTATATACCTTATTATAATATATACAAGGTATTTTACCAAAGAAAAAGCACTGAAATATATCGAAAAACTGAACCTGGTAGGCAAAAATGTTTCAGACAAAAGTTATATGGCTTGAGGGAGGACGGAAGATGGTATCATTAGTTTGATCTTGGGTGATGTTGAGGTGAGGGCAAGGGCATTTTGAATTTTTTAAACGGAACATCCCATTTTTCATTGCATATTCTTGTAGCTTACCACAAGAGCTTTTCAAAACACTATAATAAAATATTTTTTCGTTAAGTACTTTTCAAAATATAGTGCTTGAAAGTTACAGTACCACTGGCATTAATATCATCTAAGGTGTCTAACTGATGGTTAAAACTTCTTAAATGTTATTCAGAATTATGATTTAGATGATTTGGATGACATTTGCGAGATTAAGGTCATTGGATCTTGTTCCTCCTATTTTCATTTTGCACTAAAAATCTTAAAAATGAAAATAAGAGAAGCAATCTCTAATGACCTTGACATGACAAATGTTATCCAGATCATGATCCTAAACAACATTTAAGAAGTTTTAGCTTTTTTTGGTCAAACACCTTAAATAATACTAACACTGATGATATTGTAATCTTCAAATATTGACTCGAAAAGTACTTAATAAAAAAAATTTTATTACAGTGTTTTGGAAAACTGTAGAGGTAAGTTACGAAAATATACAATGAAATATGAGTTCCATTTAAAAAATTCAAAGTGCCCTGAATTCACCCCGACCTTAACAATGCCAAGGTCGAAATAATGTTGCCATCTTATGTCCCCCCTCAAACCACGTACAACTTTCGTCTAAAATATTTTTGCCTATTAAGTTCAATTTTCGATATATTTTGGTGTTTTGTCTTAGGTGAAATATGATATACGTAGGAAAATATTCGATGAGAAAACTTTCTTGATTGACAAAGACAGTCGTTATCGCGTCTGGAGAATCGACAATACCAGATACGAGTAGAACAACATTTTACCATCGCTGAGCAGTATGTGGACATTCTAGATGGAATCATGCTGCCCAGAGTACGAAGATGCTATAACGAACAAGATCACCTCAGGATTGTCGTCGTGGAAGATAACAATCCAAACCATACCGCTAGGATTACCAGAGTTCAATATGAGGACCATTCAGACATCATACAGTTAAATTTTGGCCTCCAAGATCTCTAGACCTCATTGGAAATCTTTGAGCAACGAGCGTGCATCTACACTGTAAAAAAACTTGGTAAATTTACACATATAATAGATGTAAAAATTACATGATTAGTCCTGTAAAAAATCCTCCTGTATAAAAATCCTGTATAAAAAAAATCATGCAATTTTTTTTACAGAAATTATGTAATTCCATAAAAATTATGTAAATTTGAAAGTAAAAGTATAGATTTCGCTCGTATTAAGCAAAAGCAAGATAAAGAAATCAAGTCAATGATGGAGCCAATTAAGATGTACAAGTACAATTAAAATATTTCTTATGTAAAATCCAAAGAAAAGTACATTTCTTTATATGTAAATTTGCTTTTATTGTGTAAATGTATCTTATTTTATATAAAAAATTACGTAAATAGCAGGATATTTTGAATATTTTCTGTAATTATCCAAATTTTAGTAATATTACGTAATATAACAGTAATTTTTTGCGTATTGCTGTTAAATGTATAATGTTAAATGTATAATAATATATAATAGTGCGAAATGTATTGTCATATTATCGTTCCTATACACATTGTAATTGTACTTCCACAATCTGTTTAGTTACAAACCAAGAAATTATTTTTATTTGCATATTACAAATTTACAAACACATAGACATTTACAACTATTATAGTGGGTCTCAAAATTACCCACTATAATAGTTGTAATTTTACACAAAATTTTTTACAGTGTAGCTTGGGCTGAACTAGCATCCTGTTTATTGCCAGGCAATAGTTAATTCGATGCACTGCAAACTACTAACTGTATTAGCCACCGATGGACACGCTATAAACTTAGAGGTAATGCCAACATATTGCTAAAAGAAATTATACAGAATTATATTATATGTAGAGAGTGAACTGAATATTTACGTAAATAGTATGTACGATATTTTTCAACGAGACCTCTGTTTCATGCTGTATCATCATAAATTTTCATAATTTTCGTTCTCTCCACAGGCTCGGC